CATTTGTTGTATTTCTTTGGTAACCTCATCCTCTCTGGCATGGGACAGAGAGTCCACAGAACAACCCCAACACATTTGAAAATCCAAATGTTAATCTGTACATTGTTTTGTTTTTTTAACCTACCATGAGATTGTAAATGGAATGAATGAAGATATATTATATTCAACACAAAATAGGTGCTGTAAAACAAGCTTTTCCTGAAGAAGGACTTTTGAGATTCTGGCATCCCAACCATTTCAGACTAGGAAGAAATTACACAAATACTCTAATCTAAGCAGGATGTTACATTTCAGTAAATACACTGAGCTAAACAAATTGCTGATTCACTGTTCCAAAATATTTTCTGTAGAATAAGGATACAATTTTGAATCATACACTATAGCCATGCAATGTGAATGCCATACTGTAGACTTGAGTCACCCAGGCATTCTTATTAAGGGCTTGCCATTTAACCAAACCACATATTTAAAGATCATCAGCACACAAATTTGTCCATGTTTTTCCGCCAATTATTAGCTCATAATAGGATTTGCTGAGTGGGAAAATGGCAAATAAAAATAATGCAATACATGGTACATTGGTGGTCAGGGGGTTTATGATTTGAACTAATTAAAATATTGGAATTGGGTTGCTTCCCCATGTTTCCCCCAGGTGCAGACAGTCCTTCTAGGCCTTTAGTCACTGATACCAAATGCCAGAATTTCAAACATGTATTCTTTTTTTTTTCTTTCCAAATAAACCTTTATTTTGAAATATTGCTTTGACATAAGCAGTTATCCATATTACAAAAAACAAACATTTATTCTTTACACCCTGGCACTATAGACTTCTAGCTGCTGCAGAATACCAAGCCTCAAAATGTTTCCATCTAACTTCCCAAGTCTCCAGCTGCTATAGTCAGGCGATCACAATTTTCTAGCCCCTTCTACCCACTTCCTAGTTTCTAAATCTTAATTTTGATTCTGACTCCTGAACTGAAATGTGTGCTAAATAAATTGTGGATTTTTAATTAATTTTTCAGAATATTTCAGCTTCTGTGATCCTGCAGTCAGAGACTTCTTTTTCTGTCACTGTTATCCAAACACAGCCCTGATCTCCAAGATACAGATTTTCTCCTTCAACCCCCTAAACTTTACTCAGATTTATGAACAAATATTTCAGATGTCCCCCATGAAATCCTGTAAATATGAGCTGGCATATGAGTTGGAATTATAATAATCTGCACTCTGACAATGCAGTTTAAGATGACCTTCTTTTTACATTCTAATTCAGAAGATACAGTGTGTGCCCATTCCCTAAAGTTTTAGAGGATCAGCACACTGACACATTAGCCTCAAAAGGATCTGCAGCTTGCTACACCAGCTTCAAAAGATCCTGCTGGTATGGCCTGCAAACCGGCATATTCTGCTGTCTTGGCATTTGGGCCTAAAGTTTATGCTCTTTGGAGTCAGGATCTGAGATTCTTGCTGTCCTAACCTACAGTCCTAAGTTTATTTCTTTTTTCTAAGGGACTCATTCTGAGCCTGTCCAAGGCCACATCAACAGATACTCAGTGTGAACTGCCTACCTTTCCTGAGACCCTGTCAGATCTGTCTGTTCTGCTTAAGACACAACAATTACTTGCTTCAATCACACAGCAGGCCAGTGCCGGAGAGCAATGGGCCCAGTAACAGAACAAAGGTAAGTGGTTGCAGTTGAAGCCTATAGTCTGGTGGTCAGAGGTGCCATGATTTTCTTTTTTCTGATGGCCTTTTGGAGAATCGAGGATCTGAATTGTTTTTTTTTCATGATTATGTGCTGTGCCTTTATATTACTGAAGATCTTTGTGGTCTTTCTGGAGCCTGGAAGTCCAAGGCTCAGTAATCTGGCATAAAGGATTATAACAACAGGGCTTCTGTGGCTACATAAATCTACAGTGATGAGCTTCCCTGTTTACAAATGTGATATTCATTCTGTCAGCAAGGTTCAGAGTTGTGCTACAGACCCCAATGATGGACTTTTGTCATTTATGACCCATTATAACAGTGGTAGGACAGATTGTGCTCTGAATTATGTTACCCTATGATAGCACGTATACAACAAACAGCAGTGGAATTATGGCTCAACCTAGATTATATCTTGATAACAAGGGGTTGTGCAATCAAAACCACAGTGAAGTCTATAATATGCTGTGCTTGGTATATAAAGTGAAGGAATAAAGTCACCTGAAAAACAACTCTGTATCATGTGTCAATAAATGACCGTGGATAAATACATGTGTTCTCTTACATTGTTGATTATTGGATGAATTGATAAAGTGATTCCTTCTGAAAGTGAATTATTTACCGAAAAGCCTGTGTGATCTCTTAAGGTGGCCATACACTCTACAACCATCGCAAGACTTTAGTCTTGCGATGGTTGTACAGGGATTAAAAAAACGTACGATCTGCCTATCTTGGACAGGCAGATCGCACTCTCGATCATCGCAAGCCCGCCCCCCTGAGGGGCGGGCTTCCGATGACCGCAATGCTGAACGGGCAGTGTGCGCGTGCGCACACCGGCCCGCTTGGCATTTGTCTTCCGAGCACCGTTCTAACCAGCCGAGAATCGCACGATTCCCGGCTGGTTTTTGAACATGCTGGTTCGACAGAAGACATGCGACCGTACAGTAGAAACGGTCGCACGTCTCCGTTCACACTGCTCGATTATCCTACGAAAAACCGATCGCATACGATTATCGTACGATAATCGTGCAGTGTATGGGCACCTTTACACCTTAAATAATGTGCAAATCTTCTCTAGTGTTAATATCAGTTGTGACTGAGTGTTGTTTCCTCCAATAATTTGGAGGTAAAAATACCACTAGTGTTTGGGACAGTTGTAGTGTAACCTTGTGATAATAAAAGATTATTTATGTATCTTATAAGCTTGTGAATATAAACAGTATGAAAAACAATCAACTATGGAGAAACCAAATGAGAGGGAGCTTTCCTGTTGCACCACTCAGCTGTTCAATGCCTTGATCTAACCGTCAGAAATCTCCCAGGGGAGTTAGTGTCAAAATATGATCCTACATCTGGGGTATCATTCCAATCTGATCAATAAGTGAAATTCGGCAAGTCCATTTAATGTCCTGACACCGCAAATAAATCCTCACACCAGGTCAATTTTACTGTCGGAGAAGGTTAATTGACCAATCGTCTGTGTCAGACCTTCTTAATTTGTGGGTCGTGAGTGGGGGGTGGGGGGTCGCGATCGAAATTCCGCAGCCATCAGAGGGTTTCAGCAGGTACTTGAGTGAGGGGCCCATGCAGCCTGGAATGTCCGGGCTCTTAGAAAGTTTTTTTGTTTGTTATAGAAATGTGTGTCGTTCACTGTATGTCCCGCACCCCCCTCCTCCTCCCTGCACTTGGTAGCTACCTAGCTGAGTACGTGAAGGAAGGTTTCTGTTTAGGGGCGGAGCTTCTATTCACACGGCAGAAGCTTCAAGGCTGGAGCGGAGGCGCTGGAGTGTGAAAGGTACGTTTTCCAGCAGACATTCCAGGGGGTTGGTGATAGATAGATAGATAGACAGACCAACATTGGGGGAGGCAGAGACTCACACCTAACTATGTTGTGTGGGGGTGCAGAGGAGAGAGTCACACGACCTATGCTGGGTAGGGGGAGGCAAAGTGTGTGAGTAGAGTAGAGTGTGTGCGTGTGTAGATGCTGCTCTAAAATCTTCACTGTTACGTGTGTGTGTGTGTAGATGCTGCTCTAAAATCTTCACTGTTACCTGTGTGTGTGTGTGTGTGTGTGTAGATGCTGCTCTAAAATCTTCACTGTTATGTGTGTGTGTGTGTGTGTGCGCGTGCTGCTCTAAAATCGTCACTGTTACGTGTGTGTGTGTGTAGATGCTGCTCTAAAATCTTCACTGTTACCTGTGTGTAGTGTGTGTGTGTGTGTGTAGATGCTGCTCTAAAATCTTCACTGTTACCTGTGTGTGTGTGTGTAGATGCTGCTCTAAAATCTTCACTGTTACGTGTGTGTTTCTAAGGGCTTGTTCACACCAATTGCGGTGCGTTCCAGAGTGGTAGCTGCTGGAACGCACCACAATCGCTCGCAAAACTTCCCCCTGCGTTCTGGAAGTCAGTGGCACCACAGCCACGCCCCCCTGCCCGCAGTGCGATCGGAGGGGTGGCAAAACATTGCCTGGGTTCTGTTCTACTGCAAACACAGAAAATGCTGCATGCTCTTTTTTTTGCGTTTGCAGTGGAACAAAATGCAAGCAATGTTTTGCCACCCGTCCGATCGCACTGTGGGCAGGGGTGCTTGGCTGCGGTGCCACTGACTTCAATGCACTGCCACGCCCTCTCCCGCCCCAGAACTCAGGGGGACGTTTTAGTGAGAGATTGCGGTGCGTTCCAGCAGCTACCGCTCTGGAACGCACCGCAATTGGTGTAAATAAGCCCTAAGTAAAACACACACAAGCTTATTATAAAAAGTATATATACTATTAATCACAATTTCTCTAATCATCCCACTGCCCACACAAATGCTGGATTTCTCCCACATGCAGTGCCGGAACACAATACTCTGCTTTCCAGTGAGGTGCCACTACACTTTTTTTTTTGCCCAGTGCACCACACCACCGCACAGCACTCCTAAGGGCCCATTCACACCAACTGCGGTGCATTCCAGAGCGGTAGCTGCTGGAATGCACAGCAGTTGCACACTAAACTCCCCCCTTCGTTCTGGGGCAGGAGAGGGCACAGTGCGATTGGATGGGTAACAAAACATTGCCTGCGTTCCGGTCCAGTGCCAACACAAAAAATGCCACTTGCGTTGGCACTGGACTGGAACGCAGGCCATGTTTTGCCGTCCAATTGCACTGGGGGGGAACATGGCTGCGGTGCCATTCACTTCAATGCACTGCCCCCTCCTGCCCTAGAAAGGAGGGGGGAGTTTAGTGTGCGACTCTGAACACACCGCAGTCCTAAGACACCACACAGCCCCCGTCTTAGCTGACTGTCCGCATTACCTGGAAGTGCTGGCGGTTGTAAGCTGCAGAGAATCAGCAAGAAATCAGGGAGGAGATGAGTTTAACACCGGGGGCAGGGTGGTACTGTGAACTCTGTGAGTGTTAATAATTATATGGAAGTTTTATACCTTTAGTTTCTTTAATATGGGGTATGGAAGGAGGAGAGCATTATTTTAGTGCTGAGTGCACCCCAATACTATTTTTACTATGGATCCTGTAAGACAGTCTGGGGGACACAGATTGGAAAGTGTTACATTTATTTTGCCTGCTGGACGAATCCTTAGGGCCCATTCAAATCAATTGCGGTGCGTTCTAGAGTGGCAGCCATTCACTTCGAGGAATAGAGGTGCCATTCACTTCACTGCCATGCCCCATCCCGCCCCACAACAAATTGAGCCGGCCTCAATGCGATCCAGTGTGTTCCGGCCACAACGCACTGATGATGATGTGAACTAGCCCTAACTGTAGGCACTATGCTGTCATGCAAGCAGTCTGACACAAATTTTTCTTTATTACCAGTAAATGTTTGATTTATATACCTTTTCAATATACCTGGGGTCACGTAAAAATTTCCTTGGACGAAAAGGGGTCACGAGTGGAAAAAGTTTAAGAAGGCCTGGTCTATGTCACCCCGACTTGCGAACAGTAGCGTGTGAGGAATAATGGTACTTATCTGTCCTAATTTTATCCTGTGATCCACTGAAGAAGTCGCTTATGAGAGGATCCCTTCACCGATCTCTGTGATCTCTGAAGGGATCTCTGAGATCGGTAAAGGGACCCTCTCATAAGCGACTTCTTCAGTGGATCACAGGATAAAATTAGGACACATAAGTACCATTATACTTGCGAGCAGTAGCGTGAGGAATAATGGTACTCACAGCCTTTTTAAAGAGATTAAACATGGGGAAATGTGCATGTATTGTAGAGATGAGTGAAACATGTTGGTTTGTGCAAATACTTTAAAGGGACCAGAAAGCCATCCATTATACCTGTGTAAAACATTTATCTTAATAAAGAAAAATGCTGTGAACAAAAGTTTACAAATCTTAAGTCCCTAAAAGTAAATGTGTCTAATAAAATAAAAAAATTGCAAACATTTTTTATTCTGTAAACAAAAACAGAAGACACAGAGATAAACAAAAAATGAACAAGAAACATAAAAGTACAATGACCCTGCTATTACTGTGTAACAGGCTACTACTGATAAGAGCCACCAAGATAAGATTTTCCATCCAAATTAGTTAGAACGTTTAATACATTGAACTGACTGAAACCAAACAATAAATATATTTAATCAGTACTGTTCATCTAAACAGCACATTCTGTAATCTAAAGAAAGGTATTTTACTTTCAGCTGTGTCTCTAAAGGTGCCCATACACTGAACGATTATCGTACGATAATCGTATGCAACCGTTTTTTCATACGATAATCGCGCAGTGTATGGGCAGTGTGTGACCGTGAATACTGTACGATCGTACGACGTTCGACTACCTAGCATGTTCGAAAACCTGTGAGTAATCGTACGATAATCGTTCAATGGGTAGAGTAATCGTTCGATGGCAATCGCATCGTTCGTTCAGCGCATGCGTTAAACGAACAGACAAGCGGAAGGATAATGATGGCAGCTGGCTCTACTCGCAGCATCCACACATCTGTTCTGGTACCCTCATGGACCACTCGCTCAGCCATTGCTGGGGCTACATGTTGAGTACAGATGCAATAACCAACTTTCACACAAAAATCCATATCTCCTCATGTAGCTGACACACATGCTGACCAGTCCCCATGTGCAGCACACATGAGGATGATAAAAGTAACCCCGTCATAATTCCCATTAACCACATCCAACGCCAAACATGCAAAATGAACAACATGTCCATTCTCCTTTGGGACACCGTTGGATAAACGTCAAATTGTCAAGTACGCCCTACACATGTGTATGCTGTATGTCCCTGTCCATTGCACAGCTGCGACATGCATCAGGCAAACCATTGCCCCAAATAAACATACATGACAAACGCATGCACAGCATCAGTCACGCAGGAAGACTGTAAAGTGGTAATGGCTGAAATGAGGACACTGACACAGGGCATACATTACGAAAATATTTATATATTATAAGCTCTAAATTGAAATCCAAGCCAAACAAGGGGGGCTTGTAAACAGGGGCAGGGCAGTGCAAATGGCAACGTGGCACATGTGTAAAAACGGGGAGGTGAGGTGTCCTACAGTTTCATGACTTCGTCACGCACATCCTGG